AGCACAGAAACAGCACTGGTCCGAGTCATGAGTGACCTCCTGCGCGCGATGGACGATGGCAAACTCTCTATTCTCACTCTGTTAGATCTCTCTGCTGCATTTGATACCATTGACCACCAGATTCTTCTTGACCGCCTTCATCTTTCTTTCGGACTTACTGGCTCAGCTTTAAACTGGTTTCAATCATATCTTTCTGACAGAACTCAAAAAGTCTCTATTTCCAACCGCTCTTCCAAACCTTCAGCCCTGTCTATTGGAGTTCCTCAAGGATCGGTCCTTGGGCCGGTCCTTTTCATCCTCTACACTAAACCTCTATCATCTCTCATTAGCCACCACTCAGTTTCCAGTCAATCCTTTGCTGATGACACTCAAATCAGTGACTCTTGCTTTCCTGATCAACTTGATGCCACAATCCTTCGCATACAGGAGTGCGTGGACGATGTAAAGCGTTGGATGACTTGCAACAAACTGAAGCTAAATGATGATAAAACGGAAATCCTTCTCATCCACTCTCAAAACAAACCTCTCCCTCCATTCGCTCCTTCTTCTATATCTATTGGCAACTCTGACATCACACTCTCTCCCTCTGCCAGAAACCTTGGAGTCACGCTTACGGACACCCTCTCCATGGACAAACATGTCACGAATATATGCAGATCAGCATATAACGAAATTAGAAAAATCAGCACCATTAGACACCTCCTCTCCTTTGATGCCACAAAAACTCTCGTCTCTTCACTCATTCTTTCAAAATTTGACTACTGTAACATTCTTCTCTCAGGCATTCCTCAACACCACATAGAAAAACTTCAGAAGGCACAGAACTCAGCATGCAGACTCATTTTTAAATTAAAGAAACATGACCACATTCAACCACACATGCGGCAACTCCACTGGCTTCCAATATCCTCTCGCATCAAATACAAGTCTTCCAATCTTTGCTTCAACTCGTTCACTGACCCTCACTTTCCTGTCTATCTCTCTGAACTGTTGCTTCCTTACATCCCCACAAGACAACTACGTTCTTCCATTGACAGTAGAACCCTCTCAATCCCAAGAACTAAAACTAAGACCATCGGTGAACGCTCCTTCTGCTTCCATGGGCCCACGTTCTGGAACCAGCTCCCCTTCCATATACGTCATAGTGAAACCTCGTCCATTTTCAAAAAGTCCCTTAAAACTCATCTGTTTAGGTCCGCCTATGACCTGTGATGCACCCTCCTTGCCCTACCTAATTTTCTGTTTCGGTTTAATCCTGAAGTGTCAAAGTGTCCTCTTTTTATAGCCATTTTCATTGTTTCTATAGAATAGTAGTTACTATCCTAGTGTCTCATTTGTATTTACTTAGTTTACATGTTTTAATAATTGTAAAGCGCTTAGAGCTTTATGATAAGCGCTATATAAAAATGCCTAAATAAATAAATACATAAATATGAGCCCATGTTAATATGAGGCCAAGTTAAAATGAGGCCATGTCAATAGGTGCCCATGTCAATATGAGGCCATGTTAATATTAGGCCATGTTAATATGAGGCCATGTTAAAATGAGGCCATGTTAAAATGAGGCCATGTCAATATGAGGCAATGTCAATATGAGGCCATGTTAATATGAGGCCATGTTAATATGAGGTCATGTTAATATGAGGCCATATCAATATGAGGCCATGTCAATATGAGGCCATGTTAATTTTAGGCCATGTTAATATGAGGCCATGTTAATATGAGGCATGTTAAAATGAGGTCATGTCAATAGGTGGCCATGTCAATATGAGGCCATGTCAATAGGTGGCCATGTTAATATGAGGCCATGTCAATATGAGGCCATGTCAATATGAGGCCATGTTAATATGAGGCCATGTCAATATGAGGCCATGTCAATATGAGGCAATGTCAATATGAGGCCATGTTAATATGAGGCCATTTCAATAGGTGGCCATGTCAATATGAGGCAATGTTAATATGAGGCCATGTTAATATGAGGCAATGTTAATATGTGGCCATGTTAATATGAGGCCATGTTAATATGAGGCCATTTCAATAGGTGGCCATGTCAATATGAGGCCATGTTAATATGAGGCCATTTCAATAGGTGGCCATGTCAATATGAGGCCATGTTAATATGAGACCCTGTTAATATGAGGCCATGTCAATATGAGGCCATGTTAATATGAGGCCATGTAAATATGTGGCCATGTTAATATGAGGCCATGTTTTAAGATATATATAAATTGGCCAAACTTATTTTGCCTTAAAAGGTGGTCCTCAAATGGACAGAGATGAACACCACAGCAGCGCGTCACATCATCAAAAGATGATTCTTGTAGGGTAGCGCTATATCAACCCATCCCTTTGTTTGGCTATGGAGATGTTTAGTATGGTCACGTGATGCCCCCGGCCAGTGCCCTGTCTAAGGAACGTATTGATCTCTGACAAACTCAATAGTCCAAGTTAATATAATATACGACCCCCCTCCTACCGTCTCCCCCTCCCCCCCCCCGTACGGCTAATAACGTTGACTAAACTACGGCAACACCTCATCGTTTATTTCCGGTTTCTCTTTCCACCTTATGCGAAATGTACGGGTTGACCGGGTGGAACAGCCCGGGAACATTGCTGGAACGTCGCTGGAACGTCAAGGCTAATTTGAATTTACAACTGAAAGGAAATACAACACCAGGAGACGGCACTGCTGTACTTGACGGAGACAGCACTGCTGTTCTTGACAGCCATCGGACAAAAAGTGGATTTTTTTGCCATTATCGTGTTCGGCGAGGAACCCATTACTTGGAGGAGTGTCTATTTTTTTAGATTATGCGCTAAAGTTGCGCGGTGGTGGGGGGGGGGTGTTGGGGGCGGGGGGTAAGGTCTACTCCCCATGTTACAATTTGCATCTGGAAAATCTCATTCGGCAGAGATGGTGTTCATTGTCAGAGATGGTGTTCATTGTCAGAGATGGTGTTCATTGTCAGAGATGGTGTTCATTGTCAGAGATGGTGTTCATTGTCAGAGATGGTGTTCATTGTCAGAGATGGTGTTCATTGTCAGAGATGGTGTTCATTGTCTTAGGTTTCTGGCTGTTCCGACTGGAGGTCATTTACTATGAACGTTCTTGACCTGAGAGATGTTCTGTGTGTCTGGAGCTGTCCCGCGATGGCGCAACTCGATACAACAAAAAGTGAGCAAGGGAAGCATTCCAGCTTGTTGATTGGCTTAAGAGACGACTGCGTCGACTGGAGCACGCGCTGCCATGTGCTAGAACTAGGCCGGGAATGTTGGTCAAAAAGCAGCGGATAGTAAATCATATGACAAAATGATGATATCTGGATGACATCAATAGAGTTGGAGATTATTTTGGGGTGAGGCGGGGGAGGGGGGGGCGATAACTTTTCTTGATGTCACAACAAACAAATGCCTCATCCAGACGTACCAATCCAGACATATCAATCCAGATGTATTAATATTGACGGTTAAATCGTAACATACCAATCCGGACATACCAATCCGGACATACCAATCCGGACATACCAATCCGGACATACCAATCCGGACATACCAATCCGGACATACCAATCCGGACATACCAATCAAATCAATGAGTCGGCGGAGTGAAGCCAAATCATAGGTGTACACAGTCGATGTGTATGTGATAAAAGGTCATATGTCAATAGAGTAAGTCAATATGTCAATGGGGAAAAGTCAATATACAATAGAAATAAGTCAATATGTTAATCGAGATAGGTCAATATGTCAATGGAGATAAGTCAATATGGCAATGGACATAATTAAATGTACGCCAATGGAAATAAGTCAATATGTCATTCGAGATAAGTCAAAATGTCATTCGAGATAAATCAATATGTCAATGGAAATAATTCAATCTGTCAGTGGAGATAAGTCAATAGTTAGGTTGAGATAATTAAATAGTTCAGTGGATATAAGTCAATAGTTCAAATAAGATAAGTCATTAGGTCAGGTGACATAAGTTAATATTTCCTTTCAGATAAGTAAATATTTAGTTGAGATAAGTAAATCGTTCAGATGAGATAATGACGATTTTTTCACTCCATTTTTATTGCGAAGATGTTCATCCTAGTTTTTGCCAACAAGGGAAGCCACTAAACAATCAGGCAACTGCTTGGTTCCTTGACCTTTGATGAGACAACATTTCTCCATTCCTTCAAATAATTGACTCCCCTGGGCAGCATAGCAAGTGTTCAAAGTGACGTCAGACTTACGTCACCTCTTCTTGTTGTTTTAACACACCATGTAATGTGTCAATCTACCATCCAATGCATGTGTCAATCTACCATCCAAAGCATGTGTCAATCTACCATCCAAAGCATGTGTCATTCTACCATCCAATACATGTGTCATTCTACCATCCAATACATGTGTCATTCTACCATCCAATACATGTGTCATTCTACCATCCAATACATGTGTCATTCTACCATCCAATACATGTGTCAATCTACCATCCAATACATGTGTCAATCTACCATCCAATACGTGTGTCATTCTACCATCCAATATGTGTGTCATTCTACCATCCAATACATGTGTCATTCTACCATCCAATACATGTATCATTCTACCATCCAATAGATGTGTCAATCTACCATCCAATACATGTGTCAATCTACCATCCAATACATGTGTCGTTCTACCATCCAATACATGTGTCATTCTACATCCAATACATGTGTCATTCTACCATCCAATACATGTGTCATTCTACCATCCAATACATGTGTCATTCTACCATCCAATACATGTGTCAATCTACCATCCAATACATGTGTCATTCTACCATCCAATGTGTGTTTCAATCTACCATCCAATACATGTTTCATTCTACCATCCAATGCATGCGTCAATCTACCATATAATGCACTAGTATCACTCTCTTACGTCTCATATCTCATCATGACACAGTTACAAATATCTCTCACGTCATACCTCACGTGACAAACAAATAGGAGATCAACAATTGTGTTTCCCCCTCACTCTTCTCTTCCGTTTATTGACTGCTGCTACTGCTACAAATCTCATGTACAGCTTGGCAACAGCCTTTTTTAGAAAGATACAACTAATTTTTACCTTTAGGTTTATTTAAAATTATTTCTAGCTTTCAAATATGTTTTTGAAAACATGTGTGTTAACCTGAACACTGTAAGTAAAGGACTATTCTATGTGGTAAATAAATGTTTCATCATGGTAGGCCTTGTGGTGAACATTGTGGTAAGCCTTGTGGTAGGCCTTGTGGTAAGCCTTGCATGTTTCCTCGCCCATCAGTGGACATGCAGTGCTAACTCCCCACAGGAGAAAAGCTGATAAAAAATGCAATTGATTTCGTGAACATCCTTTACCCCTGAGGAGATTCGAGGCTGTCACAAATTCATTATAAATTCGAATGTCTCAACAACAACGAGGCCCTTCAAATATTTATAAGGCTTGCAAGCAGCAAGGTGAAACCCCATTCTGGCATACAGTGCGCGGGCTGCGTGATGAACTTCCGTTGTGATCAGAAAAATACCATCATAGTTTTGTTCCACGCAGAACTCAATCGTTTTGTTGACAAGCAGTTTCGCTATTCCCATACCGCGGAACTTGTTTTTAACAGCCATCCTCCTCAACCAGGCCACTTTTTTAATGTTGGCCTCCGTATGGTCATTGAAAGGTGATCCTGGTAGTTGAGAAACTTTTTGAACAATGCCTATGGTGCCAACGATTTCTCCATTGTATTCAGCGACCCAAAAGTGATGGTCTTGTTTATCAAAATAGTATTCTTTCATATTCTTTATATCTTGAAGATACGAGACATACAAATATACTAATGTCCCAATGAAACACACCAAATATATCAGTATAATACCAAGAATGGCGAGAAAAACAAAAGTAAGGGGAGAAAATCCATTCCAGATTCCTAATCCAAAGAGAATTGTGCTTATCCCCCTTACAAAAAGTTTCCTTAAACACAGAATAAATGCCGAGTTGATGTTACTGAAACTTCCTTCCTTTAAGACTGTCCACACATCTTCGCTATCTGATAATTTCCATGAACGAATTTTAATTTTAGAATTCGACTGAATCATATTCACAAAGTTGTTCATAAAAATGACAGTAGATATTTTTAAAACTAAAACTATTGCCTGTATGCCAATGTTTACCCTAATTGTTTCTGTTACGCCTCTGACTGTAACTTCACTGTCCGTACGCGTAGAGTTAGAGGCAGAGGCCAACTGAAACTGATCACTGTTCTGTGTGTATTTTTTCTAATACTACGAGTAGGATTGACCTAAATAAATTTAAATTTGATTCATTAAAAATTCGAATAGTATCCCAGTATTCCACGTTAATTTTAACGTATATCGTTTGCATGGTTTAAAACGCTGTCATTGGAGTCATCTTTATCATATCGTTCCATGATGAATGAAGGTAATAGAATTTTGTCTCTGCTCATTGTAATGCATAAAACAGAGTTCAAAGGGTAAAGGTGACTTGGTCAGATTGTATATGTTAGTTACACACTTCTTTTCAAGCGTTGCTAGTTGAAAGTCAAGAAAGCCACTGAAGTATCTCTTAACGTTGCCATTAATTATAATTTGATAATAGCTCTGAAGATTTTTTCTAAAGTAAAATCCAGCTTTATAATTTGATCTACTAAAGTCCTGATTGTATTTAAGGTGTCTGGCGTTTTAGGACCAGAGAACATTCCTGTCTAACACCATATTTTAATAGGACAATAGCTTCCGGTACACTGTTATCAATTGGGTGATATCGATATTTGAAGTATCGATACTTAATTAAAATTACCTAAAATATTTAATAAGTTATTTTACAGATCAAGACACAATAATTATGTCGTAAACGAATTACATATGGCTACGTGAAACAGTCTTTTAGTCTACGCTCTATAAATAATGAATCGGACTGTATTTTCTGTATTAATGTCAAAATACTTTTTGGGTTGGTTTAAATGAATTGGTTTAGTCTTACGAAAATGACAACTTAAGGCGTAAGGTCTAACCATGATCTCTACACTGTTTTGCTTTTGTTTGTTTGGTTTTTCTGTTCTTTTTGTGAGTCATGTTTCATGTTTCTATTTTAAAGATTATTAATAAGAAAGAGACTCATTCATTGTAATTTTACTACTATTCCTCCAAAGAAATTAGGCTACCTGAATTTAAATAAATGTATTCTTATTCTAACACAATATTTTCCTAAATAGATTTATAGCGCTACGAGTCGATTAAAACATTATAATTGCATTGATTGAAGTATTATAAACCTAGTTAAGTTATTTTTAATGTCCCCCCCCCCCTCCTTTTCCCTACAATGAATATTTTTGAAAAACACACACACTTTTCTCTCCAACGTGCACTACAGCCTTTCACAAACTTTTAAAGTGGGTGGATTGGTGGACACGTTTAGAAATTTCACCGGTTCGAGACATTTATTAATTATATTTTATGTTTATTTGACCAGAAATATTCATAATGTGTGGACCAGCAACGTAAGGTTCGCGGACCGGAGGCGGTCCACGGCCCACCATTTTGGGAACGCTACATCATTACACACGCTCAAATGACTCATAGTCGAAGTATCGAATTTTCATTTACCGAATATAGATGACGAATTTGTTTTTGTGTTGTCCGGTGTCGAACTATTATAAAAGTAGTAAACTCAACGCATTCAAGTTTTCTACTTATGAGACAGAGGATAATTTAATTCGAAGTCACTTTACGATATTTACATTCCTTACAGTTAAATTTTGAAGAAAAGCATGGCAGATCCACGTATCAAACAAATCAAAATTAAAACGAACGTTGTTAAAAGGTATTTATTTTAGGCTACGGCTTTTCGGAACCGGGTATCAAATGTGAGAGAGTGGAGAGGCTGGGTTTATTAGTAGACTTAATAGTTTATTTTAAAATATTTAAAATATTATTTTATTTGTAGAGTTTTTAAGACAAAATTTGGTATCAAATAAACAATAATTGAACGGACTATATGTTTTTAAACTTACTTATTCAGTTTAAATAAAATAAAAAACCACAAATGACATCTGAAAAGCATTTAATGTAGTAGTCTAAGTTAAGTCTAAAGTAAGGGATCCTTGCCCAGATGTTTGTCGGAATTATTCCACCTGGGTCCCTTCAGATCAAATGAATGCTATTCGGATGTCATTTGTGGTTGTGTGATAGTATATTTAGTTAAACTAAAGTAAAACATCTAGTGTAGTCTATTCAATTATCTTCCATTTCATACCAAATTTTGTCTTACAAACCCAACAACCTCTCACTTCTGATACCAGGGTCCCAATAGTCACTTTGTTATTTTACTTAAATTTAAATAATTAATAGGCCTACTGCCTACTACTCCCCTCATCCATAACTTGATTATTAATAATATTAATATCAAGTTAAACTACTATTAATAAACTTGTCTAAATATTACTAAGTAGCCTACTCATTTACTTATGTCATGAATGATGAACGTACTTGACTTAAACTAAACTTAACGACTTAAACTTTAAACTAAACTTAACTAGTATTACACTGATTACTGGGCTGAGGCCAAATTATTAATTATTATTTAATCATATTTAAACTCCATTGCCTAGAATTATACTTGGTCACTAGACCTATTAAGTCTAAGTAAGAATAATAATAGGCCAGGGGGCAACCATAACCCATAACATACGTTATCCTCTAGAGGCGAGAAAGGGATCTAAGTCTAAGAAAGTGTGCGGGGGTTTAAATATCTTAAGTGATGTCACTCATTTTTTTAATCATCCATCCATTTTAAACCTAAAATCCACAGTGTTGTTGAACGCTCTGTTGTTGTGATATAAATATTCGACAGAAGACAGTAGATGTCACTAATATACATTTAATAGTGAAGTTTGTTTTAGATTAAATTTAAATTAGTTTTTAGTTTTTTATGGTAGTAAGGGAGATGAAGGCTTCTTGCAGACACGTTCATTGTTTTGTTGAGTTACTTTTTTCAGGTTTCCCTATAATTTTTTTCACTGGTTTCCTTTTTTAAATTTGTACTATTTTATTTAACGTAGTGGGGGGTGTAGAGAGGGAGGTTGTTCCTGATATTTGGGACAGGGTGACACACTTTATGGATGACCACTAAAGGCCCACTTGTTCAAGTGTATGTGGCTGGTGGGAGAGGGGAGCTGTAAGTACATGTAACTTACATTACATTTATGGATATATTCTACAATAATTATCCTGAAATTTCTACAATCCAAAAATAACCTATTTATATGAAAGTCCATAAATAAAAAAGCCTATTTGTAGGCCCTATGTTCAATTAAGCCATCCAACTATCACCTAAACATCTGTGAAGGCTACACTATAATTATTAATATATCATGGCAGTATTTCATCATTAATATCATACTTTAGCTTTGTGTTTTTCCTCCAATTTGCCAGAAGCAGATCAGGCAGCTTTTTATATTTTAGGTTAGTTGCGACTGTTTCTTAGTTGCTTATTCCAGCTGGGACATAACCCATGTTGAACTAAAATAAGTAGTAAGTCATTGGCTCTTGGAATATAATTAAATTAACTCCAGACTTCCAGGAATAGGATGAGGAGTACAGTGAACGGAAATTTGGTCGAATCTTTCTTTAAAATTTTCGTCAAATTTCTTTTTGAACGCACTTTACTACATAGTGAAACAAAATAATGCGTTCAAAATGAAATTTGAAGCAAAATTTTAACTTAAAAAACTGAAAAAAGATTCCACCAAAATTCCGTTCGATCAAATTACCGTCTTTCAATTTCCCATTGACGAAATTTCTTTCTATCAAATTTCCGGATGCGTATTTTAACAGCTGCAAGATAATTTGATTCAATGTAAAAGTTTTGAAGGAAGAATAGTTATTTATTGTAATTGGGTATTGATGAATGCTAATGCGTCCCCTAATAAAATTTGGCTTGTCACCTTTGACCTCACTAATGTAGATCTTCTAAGTATTTATTAGGTTGGCTAAGATAGCATTATGTTCCCCATATTATCCTTAGTTTTTTTTTTAGTCATAATTAACTCTTTGTAACTTTGTTGTCTGTATCATTATAATTATATGTATGATGATTGATTGATTGAATACTTTTAAAGGGCTTTTGTCCATGCTATTTGAACACGCTCACAGCATTTATTCAGAGAAACTTAGGTATTAATATTTTATGTGGTGTAGATTTTGTATCTTTAACTTATCGATATTTATTGTTTTGTAAATAAAAGTTTAATAATTTTGAGAACGTTTAAGATTTCATTTGATTTACTAAATTCTCAAATGTTCTTGACCTGTCTTAAATGTATTTTTGGCTATTTTATAATAAAATCTCCACATTTTATTGTTACGGATATTAGCTTGCCTTGTTTACATCATGTTTATTTCATGTTTCTCGTGCATGAACTCTGGGTGACCCCAAGTTTGGCAACAAGATGGGTGTGGCCTAATTATAAATTGTCTCCTTTGACCTTGATACATGTAAACATAGTATCTAATCGAGTTCAGTGGAACTTATAAGAGGGCCCTAGGTACAGATACAGTGCGTCTGGACCCTTTCTGGAAAAGTCTCTATGAAAGACTATAAATAAGCCAATCCACAGAGGGAGCAGTAGAGCTAGAAAGAGACACATTCAGACTTCGAGAAAAAGATTTGTGATTAGGACATGAGGAGAGAGCGAGACTAATAGACTGACATACTGTTCTGACCGTAGATTTGTATATTTTATTTATTGTTTGTGTGTGCACCTTCCCAACATTGCACCGGTACCAGTTCATTGTTGTACTGTAAGTGAATAGTTTTATTCTATTTGATTTTGTATTGTAAAGTTGGCTTTAATAAATTTGTTACTTGTAATTCGCCCTAGTTTTCGTATCGTTCTTTATTACTGTTTTTAATTAATGGTTTCATCCTTTGTTGTGTATTGTTTGTTACAAGCCATATAGTAAAATAAGAGCTTAAATTCTCTACATATTATAACTGTGTGTAACACTTATGTTAATTGCTCTGAAAGGTTAACAAAAGAAAAGGAAAGCTATGAGAAAGAGGCAGTCCAACTTGAAGCAAGGCTGGAGAAACTTAAAAATGAAGGTGAAGATGAACATGTTCTAAGAAAACAGGTAATTTATTATTATATATTAATTATATCCCATATTTGCTTTCAAAACATTTACAAATTTATTTATTTATTTTTTTTTTAAAACCCAATTGAAAATGTTTGTTCAAGATACCAGTTACTGTAATGTAATCAAATATTTTTAAAGCCCATAATATGTTTAGATGAACTTTAAGGCTAACATTTTTTTAAAAATCTTTCTGATTGTCTTACTCTAATTTTCCTGTCTGTTATCTTAGGGTGAGGTACTTCAAGAATCCAGGTCAATGATTCCTGACACAGTACGAAGACTGAGAAAAGCTTATGAGGATTTGGAGGAACTTCTGGTGTGTAGTTGTATTCATGTAACTTATATGATTTTGATGGAGTGTTCCAGCATAAAAATGACAAACCGAAGTGTTAGCTGTGTTACAGACCTGTTTACTCTTACGATTTTGGCGTACAATGTAAGATTTCGAGGTTTATACATTATAAATACTGTATGTTTTTTTTTTCAATGAAGATAATGTATTGAACGATTTTGTGATGATATTGTACGATTTTAAGAGTTTGAGGGTAAACAGGTCTGTTGTTATCTTAAAGGATGCAGAATATTGCTACTGAGTTTTACTGTGTGGCATTGCTTGAAACAAGGAAGTCCACACTGTATCATTCCGTAGACAGCGTATCTAACAATTTTTCATATAATAATTATACTTACAGTCCAATAAATTGTTTAATTGCAGGGAAAGGAGAGTGATCTTTCAGAAGCTGAAGAGTTCACACAAGCCAAAGATGCACTCAAGCTTGCACAGCCAATTATTGCATAGATTTCCTTTTGAAATTTGGCATATTTATTACTGTATTTTGTTACTTTGAAATTAATCAATAACAAAAATTATTTTAGCCCAAGAAGTGTGTCATTTTAAAAATGACGTATCTGTGAATAATTTATGCCATTGCAAGAATTCCTTCTTTTTGCTAATTTTTTATTTGCTTGTTAAGGTGAATATCTGAAATAGAATTTCAACTTTCTCCTGTAAATATAAATAAGTTGCTTTTTAAATATTGAATCAAACCAAATAAAATAAAATATTTTTATTGATTCTTTTCTTCTTCTTCTTAAAAATAACATGTTAGTCAGCACTAAGTTTGTAATATTCACAACTAAGTTAAAGAAGTTAAGATTAAATTGTTTGAAATGTTTGGGTCCACTTTCTGTAAGACCATAATAAATTAGCACTGGCTCAATAAGGAAGGAAATGAGAAAAATAAATAACAATGTGTGAAAATCTGAGTAGAAGAAAACAAAACAGAAGACTGCGTTTGACTGTAGGTGTGTACTGTGATGATGGCCTATAGTAAATAGTAGATCTTTAAGTAGGTCATTTTTGTTACGATGGTCTTTAGCAAATAGTTCTTAATCGTGTCTATGAGATTACATTTTTGAAGTTTCCAGTTGGGTTGATGATGCTTTTATTGTGTTGAACAACTGAAATGATTGTGATCACGTTTCAGATTTAAATAGACATGAAGTTGCCCAAACAAGAAAAACATAGTATTTAATAAATCTGCTTTGATAAACTGAGAAGGACAAGGGAAATAAGTATAGTTACAATTACAAGTTTATTTTATTTAATTTCTTAAAATCAGGTTTTAAAACATTACTATATATCACAGTTTGAAACATTTTTTATCTTACAATGTCAACAGAGTTTTAATAACAAACCTTCCGGTACTTTAAATCTCTATAGAAAGCTTACTTAAGTCTTTCATATCAATACAAGAAGTGGCTAATTTTTTCATATCAATATAAGAAGTGAGGGGATAATTTTTTCTTATCAATTTGATGAATACAAATACAAGAAGTGAGTGGCTAATTCTTGCATATCAACACCAGAAGTGAGTGGCTAATTCTTGCATATCAATACAAGAAGTGAGTGGCTAATTTTTTCATATCAATACAAGAAGTTATTGGCTAATTTTTTTCATATCAATACAAGAAGTGAGTAGATAATTTTTTCATATCAATACAAGAAGTGAGGGGCTCAAATCAATACAAATTTAATCAATTACTACATCTACCGCGTTATTTAATAAACATAAAAACCACTTATAAATTGAGAGTTTTGTAATGAAGCCATTACTAACAATTAGACATAAAAAATATACCATTATCAAATAAATCACATAGGTATTGTCCCCATTTGACTGTTTTTCCTGGAATGATCCCAACACCTTTCCATGGTAATGTTAATAGCAAGAATCTTTTAGCTAATTTTATAATACCGGTACTGGAAAAAAAAATGACTCCTTCTTAGCTGCGACCCATATTTACTGTAAATGAATGAAAACATTATGGAGAGTACAGGTAACAAAATATTCAGTTTCATTTACGTGGAAACTTTTTTAAAAATATAACTTTTTCTAATTGCAAAATAATGGCAATATTAACTGCATATTAATAAGCTTAAAATGCTCAGCTTGACATCTTCAAAGGTTAGGGAGTCTTGATTGTAAAAATAATAGAAAAAAAAGTCCACATTTCAAATGACATATTTCTCTTCATATTTCGTATGAGCTGTAAAACTCGGTTCATATTGGCAATTTCTGGATCTAGGAATTAAAACAAATATTTATATCAGGGTTCTACACCTACAGCCTCCGTGTCAGTCTTGGCACCAAGAGTGATGTTAAATGGCATGCAGCAAACCCAAATGTCAGACTTGGCACAAAGACTGATGTTAAATGGCATGCAGCAAACCCAAATGTCAGACTTGGCACCAAGAGTGATGTTAAATGGCATGCAGAAAACCCAAATGTCAGACTTGGCACCAAGAGTGATGTTTAATGGCATGCAGCAAACCCAAATGTCAGACCTGGCACCAAGAGTGATGTTAAATGGCATGCAGCAAACCCAAATGTCAGACCTGGCACCAAGAGTGATGTTAAATGGCATGCAGCAAACCCAAATGTCAGACTTGGCACCAAGAGTGATGTTAAATGGCATGCAGCAAACCCAAATGTCAGACTTGGCACAAAGATTGATATTAAATGGCATGCAGCAAACCCAAATGTCAGACTTGGCACCAAGAGTGATGTTAAATGGCATGCAGCAAACCCAAATGTCAGACTTGGCACCAAGAGTGATATTAAATGGCATGCAGCAAACCCAAATGTCAGACTTGGCACCAAGAGTGATGTTAAATGGCATGCAGAAAACCCAAATGTCAGACTTGGCACCAAGAGTGATGTTAAATGGCATGCAGCAAACCCAAATGTCAGACTTGGCACCAAGAGTGATGTTAAATGGCATGCAGCAAACCCAAATGTCAGACCTGGCACCAAGAGTGATGTTAAATGGCATGCAGCAAACCCAAATGTCAGACCTGGCACCAAGACTGATGTTAAATGGCATGCAGCAAACCCAAATGTCAGACTTGGCACCAAGAGTGATGTTAAATGGCATGCAGCAAACCCAAATGTCAGACTTGGCACCAAGAGTGATGTTAAATGGCATGCAGCAAACCCAAATGTCAGACCTGGCACCAAGAGTGATGTTAAATGGCATGCAGCAAACCCAAATGTCAGACCTGGCACCAAGACTGATGTTAAATGGCATGCAGCAAACCCAAATGTCAGACTTGGCACCAAGAGTGATGTTAAATGGCATGCAGCAAACCCAAATGTCAGACTTGGCACCAAGAGTGATGTTAAATGGCATGCAGCAAACCCAAATGTCAGAC